CAGTTTTAGATCTCGACACTTAACAAACTCCTGCCTATCGTGACTCGACGCAAAAATTGAAAATACTGGTTCCGTACGTCATGCGGACTGCGTCCCTCGTACGGATGGGCGGGGATGGAGGGTAAAAACCGTTGGGATATTATTATTAAACTACTTGTAAGTACTAAAATTAAGCTTATGTATTTTAGCCATGCTCCTAAAGAACTGCTAAGCTGTGATGTTATATTTCATTCCTCAGATTGTCCCCGTTTTAATCTGCATAATATTGCGTGCTCTTTGAATGTATCCAAAGAGTCTTTCGTGTGCAGTTACAAATGCACGGACAACTGTTTTAAGGTTGACGCTGTTGAAAATTTTAAGTATCTAGGTATAGTTATTGACAATCGTTTGAAGTGGTCTGAACATCTTCATACGCTAAAACAATACTTTCTTTATACCATTCGTCATTTTTACCGCCTCAAAAAGTTGTGTTCTATGTCCACACTAAAAATAGTTTATTATGGTATATTTCAGTCAAAGCCGCAATATGGTATCACCTGCTGGAGTGGCGCTTCGGCTGATAAATTGTCACCCATTGTAACAATTCAAAAACGCGTAATTAGACGGATCTGTAACGCTAACAGCAGATCTCACACTATGCAATTTTTTAGAAAACTCGATACACTTCCACGCCGGCATTTATATTGTTTCAAAGTTCTAAAAATCTATTTTATTAAATCTGGCTACCTAGAAAGCTTTCCACCAGAAATTTACTACTTACGCAAAAACTTACTTCCATCTGTACATGTTCTGCCTGCTCGCACGTCCCATTTTAGAAGTTCCTATACATATGGTCGTGCAAATTGTTCAACTCTCTTCCTGCTTATGTACAGATCATTAGAAATCTTAGCTAATTTCAAAAAAATTTTAAAATATATCCGGTTAATTTTAACCTTTATGATATAGAAACCTTTCTGAGGTCGATATTGTAGCCCTAAAGTATAACAAAATGTTGTAACTATGCTATATGCATGCTAAATGCATGCTATAAGCACATAAATTCGTATGCAAATATATTAGGGGTATTCTCCAAATCTTGCAAAGCCATTGCACGTAGCAC